GCTGGTTCACCTGGCAAATCCCTTAACACAGCACACCAAACATGACAGCTGTGACACGATAATGGACACCCCACGATATCCCTGCCAGTCGACGGTGTCCACAGCGCGGGCTCATTACAGGGCTGCACAGATACACACGCTGCCCGGTCTGCTTGCAAAAGCCCAGGTGTGTGGCCTGTAGTACCAATAATATTTCTAAATATAGATAAGTGACAGTGTAATTCCTCTAACGATCACTGTGTTGCCTCTGTCCTCCCTTCGTCCCACCTGCAATGCGGCTACACCCACTTTCTGGATCTTGCCTTGAGAGAGGTTGTCAGCTCTTGGAGCAAGACCTGGCTTTTGACATGTTTACACGGGTTATGGCCACGTGGGGCTCCACCCGTCCCAATCTGGAGCTGCCATCACATTAATGAACGCTGGCAAAAAGCCAGAGGATCCTGCCCTTCACGTTGCCAATCCTTCAACACTACTGGCTTGCCCAAGAGAGGAGCAGGGTGCACTTGCAAGTTTATGTCAGGTGAGAGCAATGCCAAGCTGTCCACTGCTCTGTACCTATGGGATGTAGTGATGTGCAATGCCCATCAGGGTTACGGCAAGCACCTACCTATCCACCCCACTTAGAAAATGAGAACTGAAGACACCTCAGGAGGTCACATCTAGTCCAACCCCTGCTCCAAGCAGGACCAGCCCCAACTCCATCATCCCAGCCAAGGCTTTGTCTACCCAGGTCTTAAACACCTCCAAGGATGGAGACTGCACCACCTCTCTGGGGAGCCTGTTTTACTTCCTAAGGGTCTGGCCAGTTTGAGCTGATGTGATCACAGGTTCAGTAGATCAAAGTCTCCAAAATGTCTAGGAGCCCCTCCGACTCCGTGAATGCTCTCAAAAAAAGCCTGGCCCCCCTGGTCTTGGAAAGCAGAGAAACTCTAACTATCATCTCCTGAAAGAGGGGATTTTATATTTCATCTGCATGTCACCTGGAGTCAAGCGATTCGACCCCAGCTCTGCCAGGACAGCCCAGAGCGTATGAAGTGGGGTCACTGCTCCCGTGACTATGAAATTAGTTGGGAGCCTCTCTATCATCAGGTGCTTTATCAATACCTCTGCACGATCTGACTCTTGTGAGTATGAAAAATGAGAAGAAAAAAATATTGTTTGCTAAGCTCCTGGCAAATACCCTGGTGGATAAGGCTTATTTGCCAAGCCAAATGACTAGATGCCCTTTCACAGCTGGGTATGTTGGCAGCAGGCTTTGCTGAGAGTCCACAGCAAGGCTTGAACCCTAGAGCTGTGGCAAGACACCCCGACAACGCTGCGACCCTGCATACAACAGAGCGTGAAAAAAATACATGCCCATTTGGTATGTGCAAGCAATGCCATATGGTTGTGCGTGCAAGCGGGAGACAGGAAGAAGAAGACTCACAGGCACAAGCAGCCCTGGTATCACTGCAGTGCCCCGTCTCCAGGGCTCCCCTGTGCCCAGCTCTGTACAAACGCAATCCCTGCCCCGGACTCCTGACACCAATGGTTGGTGGAGCAATTCAGAGCAAAGGCAGTATTTTCCTGCCCAGTACCCAGCACGGCGGGGCTATTTGGGTGTTAAAGGAGAAATGCAAGATCCCTTCTGCATTCCCGCTGCCCGCTTTGACTCTTTTTTGATGCCCAGACCACCAAATCACATTTTGTAAGGAGAGGTCTGGAGCTGGAAACAGGGCCTCTTGCACTGAAGCCCCAAATCTGCTTCTCCTGCGAGTTATTTGGTGAGAAGTCGTCCAATAAAGAGGCACCATTGCAGCGTCAAGCAGCAGGGGAAGACTGGGTGCAATCGGGGCATGCATGTCAGTCACTAAGAGGTGCCACCCAAGCCCACGACCCATCTGGCTCTGAATTAAAGTAATTACTCTTGTTAGACTGGGTTCCACCCCCATGGGAGAGCAATATGTTTTCTGTTCTGCCCCACTGGGCAGTAACAAGCCAGGTTGGGAGGGGGAAGCCTCTGGCCTCCAGCCCTGCACTTAGAGTATGTCAGTGGCAGGATCTGCCCTTGGGCAAGTCCCTTAACCTCTCTGCCTCACCTTCTCCACGTGCATCCTAGGGATCAGGACCCGTGAGACGAGGTGCCGCCTGACTAAGCAGCTGGCTGCTATCGACGAGCTGCTGCTCCGTGGCTTTGGCAACAAACTCTTTATTCTCTCGCAACAGACAATTAGACCCATTGCTTGGTTCCCAGGCTGCTGTGTGGTTCCTTGATCTCTCCACTTCTGCCTTTGCCCCTGACAATAAGCTCATTCAGCTGCCGGGCAGGGCAAACCTGGGCCGAGAGTTAACCCATAGCAGCCTGCCAGCACCGCAGGTGTCAAAAGGGTCTGGCATGAGAGCTGCGCCCGGCTGCTCTGGGAAATGCACGTCAGCCGTGGGCACGCACAGGCCCATGCCCACCTGCGCGGGCACACACACATGCACAACGCAGGCCATCTCCCTTACCATCAGAAGAAAGGTGCCCAGCGCCTCGGCCAGCGCCTCCCGGACAAGCTCGTTGCGGACCGTCAGGATCTTCTGAATTTTCTCCAGCATCCTGCGCTCTGCCATCAGCTTTCAGCCCACCAGGCCCCTGCGGCGAAAGCAGATTTCATGACACGGGACAGCTCCCTTTTGAGCCGGCTCGCCCCCCCCTTCGCCCTCCAACGCCTCCGGTCACTCGATTAAAGATGAACAAACCAATGAAGCAGCAACTAGCCTCAAAGTCCCTTTTTTTTGTTGTTTTTAAACCCTTTTTTTTTTTTTCCTCTTTGCACCAGTTAACTCCTGGGGGAAGAGGAGGTCGATCAACATGACAAAGGCGCAACATTACTAGAAGACAAAATAAACTTTGCTCCTCCGTCAGAGTCCGTCCCCATGGAGACAGGGTGATAAACGTCCCAATTGTAGTCCTCGAGCTGCTCTCGTTCTCCGTGAGCGCAGATCAGCCAGCTCCTGTTCTGTGTCACAATGAGCCGCCTGATGTATCGCAAGCGGGTGCCTTTGAATGGATGGAGTCAGGACTGCTCACCTGTGTGTCTTAGCCCCTGTACTGAAACCAGCTTGCGGAGATTTGCCTTTGGCTTTCTTTGAAAACACCTGAGTCCTGCCCCGACTCTGGTGTGGCACTGTGACAATATTTCGGGGATGCTGGTTGTAGCCGTGTTGGTCTGAGGACCTAGACAGCTAACGTTATTTTGGGTAAATGTGATATCTTTCATTAGACCAACGAAAAATTGTTCTTTGCAAGCTTTCGGGTGCAAACACCCTTCTTCAGGCAGAGGGAGGATGAAGAAGGGCGTTGGTACCGGAAAGCTTGCAAGGAACCATTTTTTTCCAACTATAAAAGATATCACATCTACCCAAAGAGCCATGACAATGGGTGATGAATGCGGCAGCTAGAGATTCACGACAGTCAGATGTTTCTGTCCCAGCACTTCAGGAAGGTGTTTCTTAAGCTCTGTATCTTGGGCTCCTTCCTCTGGGACAACGAGGAGCCAAAAAATGTTGTCTCAGTTTCCTCTGCTCCTCCGTGTCCCATCCACGCTTGGGTGCTCAGACCTCTCGGTACCCTGAGCACACAGGTCTAATCCCCTGCCGGGGGCCAGGAAGACACGAGCCTCATAGGCATCCATTCCCTTTACCCGCCTTCTTGACACAGGATCCCTTTTCTCTCATGCTAATACCCTTTGGCTGTTGGATAATCGACTGTGGGAGCCTGTGGTTTGCATAAGCACAGGGTTTACAAGGCGTGGGACAAGCACGTGGCTCTGGGAAGCAACAAGGAAAACAACCAAATAAACTCACCAGTATTGCAGACACCTGGAAAGGAAGAGACTGACCCCTCTTCCACAGGACCTAGCACGCGTCCCTGGCCCTGCAGAGTCACGCGTCTCAGTGACAAGACTCCCACCACCTCCACCAGGAGATGTTTCTGCAGCCTATAGGATTTCACTGCCAAGAAGTTTTCCTTGATATCCATGCCAAATTTTCCCTCCCTAAATGCGATCCCCTTGCTCCTATTTGTACCCCTTTATCACAACGTTCTCATGCCCACGGCGCTCCCACCCCCCCAAACCCCTCTAAGGCAGTTCTCACATCCTCCTCTTAGTCACCCATTAACCAAATTAAACATATTAACTCCTTTACAGTCCTTCCTTGGAAGTCTGTTTCCAGTTGCTCCATCATCTTGCTTTCTGTCCTTTCTGCAGGTCACCGGGCGATGCCCAGACCTCCTTGCAGAACACCAGGCCCAGGTGCACGGGGCTGCACAGAGAGGACCTATCACCGGTTTATCACGTGACACCAATGCAGATTTCACAGTTCACTATTGGATTGGCAAGCTACACCCATGCACTGGGGTTTCCCTCTTGCTGCTACAACCCTTGTTGCATGACCTACTGCATCTACCCATCCATACCGTACCTTGCCTCATAGGATGCAGCACAGCTGCCCTGGACAACACTAAGGAAGGAGCCTCTACAAATGATCTGCTGCATCTTGGCCAGGGAGGGTGTTTTATGCCGAAGGACAAGCCCTCCTCTTTGTAGGGACAGCATGTTGACATCATTAAGCTGCTTAGCCAAAGAGGTAGTCACCTACAAGCTGCCTGGGATATTAAAGGCCATTTAATCAAGAAGAATGATAATCACACGGCTGCGCAGGGTGTTCCTGCCAGCACTTTGGGGTGTTTACCTCCCTAGCGTAGAGATGATCCTGTGCCTGGAGGAGGAGTGGTGGCCAAGAGGGCAAAGAGTGCCCAGAGGAGATCCTCCCAGCTTCAAGTGTCTCTTGCTAGCTGTGCAATATCCCCACTTCCCCATACTGCGAATGGGTGTACAAAGGGCTGAGAGGAGACGTGATTTCCAGCACATGCCGTCTTTCTGACATCATCACAGTGAAGTCCTGCTTCTCTGCCTGGGGGATCTCACAGCATTTCTAACACGAACTCAGACACGAGTGGGTCTGTGCTCCTGCCAGGCTCTGCTAACAGATCATCATTTTCTTTTGAGTCCAAATCATAGCAAAATCAGACTGGAAAGGCTCTTGGGAAGTCAACGAATCCAGTGCCCTGCTCAGAGCAGGACCGTGCCTGTCTAAATCTCCCGGACGAAAACACGCGTCTAAACCTGCACTTAAAAAAATCCCCGCGACAGAGATTCCCTGACATGGGAAAAAGAGCTGTGCCCTCCGGAGCAAGCAGAGAAAGGAAGTGGCTGGGGTGGACCTAGAAGTGTCAGCCAGGAGCTGAGTCTTTATCGGCACAAATGCTTTTACAACCCGGGTCAAAGAGCAGGCGGCATCACCTGGGGTGTGACACAGACACGGAGTCATACGCCCCAAAAAGGGACGGTCATTAACTCTTTCCCTGCAGATGGCAAACGCCCCAGAATGATATAACAACCCCAAAAAGCATTGATGCATGGAGATGTGTTGGAAAACAGAAGGAAAACACCCCCCGCATCCATCGCTTTACCACCCACCTCTTTTGTGCCGGTTGCGGGAGCTCCAATGACCGTCCTGCCAAAATCCCACACTTTACATCTCAATTCTTCCCTCCTAAAGGGTCAGCTGGAGGCTGGTGTGTTCACCGGGGGGATGCACCTGCCTTTCTCTTTAACCAGTCAAGGATGCATATCGACGGCCAGGGCGCTAGGTGGTTCTACAGGATGATGACCGCCTTTATTCTTGGGCCTCAATAACAGGACCCCAAGTAACCCAGCAGGTCCCCGAACCTCCCAAAATTTCAGCATCGCTCCCGTCTCCTTCCTCAGACCTCCCGCGGCAGCAGTGCCGGGTGGGTGGCACGGCTGGTCCATGCCTACCGTCCTGTCCCTAGCTCCCCACGTGCCCCCTTCTCTGCATGGCTGCAACCTTTCGACCTCTCCAGGCCTGCAGTCTCTTGGCTTCATCTCAGTCCCCTGCTGAATGGCCGGCTCCTCTCCTGGGGCCAAAATTTCCGGGAAGGACAAAGGGATGCTACCCCCCACCGAGTTTCTTCGGTGAAGCCCCTCCGGGTGCCTTCCTCGCCGCCATCTTTGTGCTAAAATGGGGACCTGCCTCCCCATCAGCCAAACCGGCCGCACCAGCGGCCCAGCTGAGTTGGAGTCGGTGCCCTTGGAATCGCATCTCTGCTGTTTCACCTGTTCAACCTCCCGCTTCGAGTGCCACCTGCCTCGAGGTGCCGCGTCCCACACCGTCGCCGCCGAGCCTGTCGCCGCGACGCCCCACCAGGAACTCCCGGGGCGTCCCCGCGGCTACCGGCTGTTCTGGGCTCTGGAAGTTTCCATGAGCGTCATCCTTCCGGAGGCAATCGCCGCTGGCCTCCTCCCTTGTCATTTCTTCCTGTTTCTGCCTATTAGTCACTCCTCCGGAGTGCGCAGAGGTGCAAGGGAGGTTTGCCACCGCTTTGCTTCAACCACTTCCCCCCCCCGGCTGCTTCCTCTTCGAATCCGTGGGTTAGAAGAGTTCATCCCGTCCAACTCCCCGCACAAATGCAGGATGCGCTGTCAGATGCAGGCAGAGCAACATCCAGCTCGACAACCTCCACTGAAGGAGATTATAACTTCCCTGCTGGCCTGCTGCACTGCCGGTAAGGACATCTGGGGGTATTTTTCCCCCCGGGTTTTAAATCGACATTGGTGTTGATGCAGTTTAACCACCCTCTGCAGCAAGGGAGGGTAGTTGTTCTCTCTTTTTGCTGCATGGCAGCCTTTAGATACTTGGAAGCTGCTCTCATCTCTCCCCTTATGCCAAATTACCTGGAAACAACCTGGAGAAGAGACCTCACAGCGCTTCTCACACCGACTGAGATGTTCGTTAGTCTGTGCTCCTGCCCATATGGCCCATCGGTGCTAAGAGAGCTTCATTTTTTTTTTTTTAGAAAAACAGGGCTGACTCCTTTGTGTAAGATGAGCAGCATCCAAAGAGTCAGCTTCAATATGCTTCTTTGCAGGAGCTTCCAGCATGATGCCCCAGGTCCCAAGTGAGCTCGACCGTCTCTTCCTCCCCCTGCCAGGGACATAAAGGCTGGTGAGTTTGCCCACTCTGCAGTGTCTGGGAAGGAGGCCTTTGGAGGACAGCTCGGTAAACTGTCTGCAGGTGAAGTCAGAGAGAGAGCAGGTCACAGATGGGTTGGAGTTGCTAATGTTAACCAAAGCCAGTCCGGGGAGTGGAAAAGGGCCTGTGAAGTGGGAGAGGAAAAATCCCATTCCTGCTTAACCCTGTTCTCTTCTCTTTTATTTGGGGCTAAGTACAGTCAAAAAGGCCAAGGCCGAATCAATTCAGTCTCCACAAGTCAGTCTAAGCTGCATAGATTGAGCCGATAAGCAAGTGAACAGACATTCACTTTTGATTCCAGCAATGCAGCTACATGCCTGCAGTGGCCCAGGCCAGAAGCCAGGGGGCGCTAAAGCACACCTCCTTGCTGGGCTGGAGCAGACAGCTTGGGCCAAGGCTAGCCCACCCACCCTGCAAGGGAGGGTTTTGCAGGGGAGGTACAAAGCATCCTGGGATGCTGGGGGAATGTGAGTTAACTTGAATCTGGAGGGGATCTGGGACAAAAGTTCAACAAACCGATTTACCCTAGCTCAG